GGGGGGACAAATTCAAGGTGTAGATGCACAAAAAGCGGGCATGAACCATTCCCAGTCCTTCCACATGGCCTTTCCAGACCTTTCCCACCTCACTCTATTTAATGATGATGGAGGTTTTCAGAGACCTCTGAAGATTTCCCCACAAAAGTCATGCAGTTAGAGACCTGGTCATTGAATATGAAGACCTGGACAGACTAGCAGCACATGAGACTCAGCAGGGGCATGTTTACCTACAAAACTCTCCTCAGGCTCCGCCCAGGCCTCAGCATCCTAACCACTAGGGGCCTCCCCTTGGTGTCTGCATTGTAAGAATCTCCCCAAGAGATCCTGGGGCCAATGGGGAGTCACAGCCCCAGAGCCTAACCTCTCTAAAAGGGGTGTAAGCCTACCTCCCAGGGTCAGCAGGGAGAGAGAATTTTGAGAAGCCCTGTCAATGGGCTATTTTGGAAAAATGAGACAGAAACACCAGTGTTCCATTCCTTGTCAAATAAGACCACCCAACTGAAGAAAAACATTTTGCAGACTAAGAAAAACTGGCTTCTTTAGGTCCTATATAATAATTAATGCAGTCAAGAACCCTCTCTAGGGCCAGCCCCAAGTAGGTTTAGGGCACTTGGTAATGGTACCTGTAGTAGGTAAACACGCATTGAGCACTTCCTAAGGGCCAGGCATTGGGTCTGTGTACCTCACACGTGTTCATCCTTTCATCCCCCAAACAACCCATTTTATAATAGGGAGGTACTTTCATCACCACCTACTTTTTACAGAGGAACAAACAGAACCACAGGTTAAACAGCTCACCAAAGGTGACAAAAGTGGTTAGTGGTAGAATAGGATTCAAACCCAAGCAGCCTGGCTCCAGAGCTCTGCCTTGACGTGCTCTGCTGAACCAACTCTCAAAAAACGCCTTTTTGTCGTGACAGCCGTATTAGGAGGGCCTCTTCTACAGGATGAAGCAAGGGAGTGACGCGAACCAAAGAGGTCTTCAGAGGCAGGGGTGGTAGAAGAAGGGAGAACTGAGCTCCATAAATAGTCTACTGACAGGACAACAGGGCAAACTGCGGAGCGTGAACAGGACCAGCGAGCTGTGACCTGCATGCTCCACCCACCCTCTGTGCCATCGGCCGGGCCCCCACCAGCCGTCCTAAATGCAAATGCAGCTCCAGCCAGCCTTGTTTCAACCTCTGCTTCTAACATGAACCCCGATACTTCTGGTTTACACAATCACGCTTACAGATCTTACTTTAGGAATTATAAAGGGCTACTGTAAAATTTCTATGCACAAACTCTTGATACATTAATTATCTGGAGCCCTCCTCTGCCCGAAATTTCTATTCTAGCCCAGTGTTTTTCAAAGCATGGTCTGGTCAAAATCTCGAGGACAGCTTGTTCGACATGAGGATTCCCAGCGCTCGTCCTAAACTACAGAACGAAAAGCTCCCTGAAGGTGGGGCAGGACGATCTAGATTTTTAACACCCTCCCTAAGTGAGTCTCATGCACACTGAAGTCTGAGCAGCGATATTATCTAGTTCTCGGAAAATGAGCTATAGCAATAATGTTTAATGGGATTCGGCTTCAAGCACAAGTGAAATCAACCCATCTTTCTGTAATGAGCTTTCTCTAAAGCAACCCCCTTCGTCATCACAACTGATATGTCTCTCATTATCCGGAGAATAATTATCTCAGCCAGGCTTTTAAACATTCTAGAATCCACCTCAGTTTTCTAAACTCTCTCCTACTCTGGTGTTTCCAAACGGCGGCCCTCATATCACTAAGGATTTTAAGAGGGACCGAGAAGAACTTCTTTTCTTTGTATTTTAGAGGCCATGTGTTTATTTTAATGTGAAAGAAGCAAAAATATAACTACAATATCCAAACCTGTGATTTTATGAATACTGGGGCTTAAGAAAATATAAAGAATCAATGTTTTTAAAATATTAAAATATTTTTCATCAGTGTTTAAAAATAATAATAGCACAGGAGGTACTCAGATCAAAGTCCTAAAGTGGGGAAACCTTATCCTGCCTGGTCCTTTCCAAGAGGCACCCTCAGTCTCAGCCACGCCTCTCCGTTCTCCAACCCTGACCGGCCGGCATTCTCTGCCTTTATTCCAGCAGCGTCCATGCCCATGGAACACGGTCCTCTCTTGTACCATACCTCTTTAAATGTTACCCACCATTTCACGCCCAGTTCACACCTCCTTCCAGGAGCCCTCCAGATTCTTCCAGCTTTGCCAGCACACTCCCTTTTTGAAGTCCTTGAACATGCTTACAGTATCACTCATTTAGAACTTAATTGCTACTTAAGTGTCTACATGTATCTATTCAGTGTCATTTCCCTAGTGAATGGAAGCCTCCTGGAGGCAACCCATGGTCTCTTTTACCTCTGGGTTACCTAGAGTGCTAACTTCCCTGGTTGAATCTGAACCCAAAACAGGAACTTGGTGAATACGTGTGAATTCATGTTGAATACACATGCAGTTGAATGAGATGTCCCACAGCAAAGAGAGAAGCAGCTGTTCTGTGCCCTTCACATCTCCTTACTTCGGGCCAGACTTCTTAGCCACAGAGCACAGAGGCTGGAGCCCAAGAAATTCTACCCAAAGGTGTGAGTCCGTGGGTGTCCCCTGGCTGATGGGAATGAGAAAGGTGACCTTAGTCGGCCCAGGTGTAAGTTGTCTGTTTCCAAGGGCCAGTCTCCTCTGCTGATGCATCCTCACCCTCAGTCTGGAGGAACCGGAGGGGCCACAGCATCTTCTAGTGAGAACCATGCTAGATGAGCAAACAGAAGCAGCTCCGCTACTCCATTCATCCTGTGACTTTGGCCTTTCTGTATCTCAAGTCTTTTAATCTGCTCAATAACTGTTATACCTAATTCACACTTGTTCTAAGCCAAAAGAAATAATGATTTTGAAAGTACTTTTAATTATGGCGTACAATAAAAATGTCAGGGCACAGCACACAAACCTGCAGGGAGGACAGACTGGAGGTCAAGGGACTCAGTTCTCTACTGGCTCATGGACAATCAGAGGTGTGGACCCTACTTCCAGTGCCTCCTTTGCTTGTCAGGTGACCTCGGGTACCCACTTAGCTTCTCTGGGACTCAATGTCCTTGTCTGTAAAACTTGCCTGTGCACTAGATGATCTGGTCTAAGGCCAAGTCCAACATGAATTTGAGAACCTTAGAGAATGATAACCAAGCAAGACTAGTGACCCCTGCACGCTTCACTGGAAGTGCTCAAAAGTGGGGAAGGTGCCCCGATGCGCCCAGGGTTCGGGTGGGCCCCAGCAAAGCCCTGCCAGAGACACTCAGACATCTCCCTCCAACCAAGATCTGTTCTGTAGATGAAAGCAGACCTGCTGTTCATCCTTCCCACTCTCTGACTTACTGTCTGACTCCCTCAACTGCATACACAGCAGAAGGCCCCATCTCCTCACTACCAGAGTCATGGTTTTTCCTTCCCCTTCTTGTTCCAAAACAACTTCAAAACCACAGGTTTTAGTGTTAAGGTCTGGCTCTGAAATTAGTTATCCCTTCAGCTCCCCCTCAGACACGCACTGCTTTCATGAGTAAAAGGACTAAGAGCCACGTGTGAAAAGGAAATGGGGAAAGAGTGGGAACTCTGGTGGTGGGAGGGAGGCAGAGGCAAGGGGCACTGGTGAGATGGAATGGCACTGCGTTCTTTGGGATTCCATAAAGGTTTGCCTGCTTCCCAAAGTGTAAGCCACAACTCTCCCAGGGTTGTACTTGGTGTGTTTGTCGGAGCTTCCCTTGTAAGACCCGTAACCATGGTTTCGGGCAGACTACATCAGAGCCGTGAGCATAAAGAGAACAGGTTTTTTCCTATTTTCCTCTAAAACTCCATCTCCTGGAAAAAAATCTATGTAAGGTGATATGCCAAGGTGATTCACATGCAACCTCTGACCCTAGGACAATCATGAAATTATTTATTTTCAATAATTAGAAGGTGATCCTTCTCCATCTCTCCATGAGGGTCGGATCTCTCTCTTTTTGTGTAGACCAAAGAACCCTGAAAACGTACACACCCAGAGCCACACGTGCTCCTGGTGGAACCAGGTAACAAATCTGAAAACACCGAAATCCACTCCTAATTTAACAACTTCCCTCCCAAAAAAGCTAAAACAAGATTGCTTCTCTGGGTGCCAAAGTTGAATGTATTTGGCTTTTAGTACATGGACAGGGCCTATTTGCAAGTCCCTAATATTTTGACAATGTAACCAAGTAATCCAATCTCAGACTTAGTATCTCATTGTACAGTATCTCCAAAATCAAAACAGGGAAACAATATAATTTTAAGTAGGATTCAAAGCATTGACTTCCAATTGCTCACAAGCAGAACCATTTTTAAAATACAATGCTCATCCCAAATGGACGCGCAATGCATTGGGCAAAACAAGCTCGGCTGATGTTTCTGGGACCCTGGAGTGACAACCCAGAGGAGAACACATTTTTCTCCCTGTATGTCAGAAGATGAGCTAACCACCATGCAGCAGAATAGAAACAAGTTAGCTTCCTCCCAGAGGGAAAAATAAAACAGCTCCTTACTCGGCGATGCAGGACAATGCCAGAACGTGCAAGAAGCCTTCAGTCTAGAGCTCCACGTGCCTCTCCAAGGACTGAGGAACCCACCCACACACAATCACACGCAGCCAGCCCACCCCGCTCCTGCCGAAGGCGCCGAGTTCTCCGCCAGCCCCCAGCACCGGAGGCTCGGGGCTCTCCCAGCTTGCGAGCTCCGTGAAGCACCGGCCGTCTGGATGGGACAGAGGCTTGTACCCCTTTTCCAAGTCTCACCTTCCTTGCCCCAATGCCTACTTCTCCCCAACTACGAAGTGCAGTGTGCTTCCCCAAGGTAGTTGACACACACACACACCCCAGATGGCACTAAGTCCCCGCGCCCCACGACCAATGCCAAGGCCGTAAGTCTTCCTCCGGGAACCCACAGCCGGGCTCCTGGACGGGGAGGCGCCCGACTCACCCAGTCCTCGAAGTGGCGGCTTCCATTCTGCAGCAGCTCCTCAAACTGGATGGTGCAGTTGGCCACGAAGTCGTCGTAGCCGATGGGGGCATCGTGGAAGACGGCCAGCTCAATCTTGCGCCCATTGCACACATCGGTGACGAACTCGTCGTGCCAGGCCGGGCTGTTGGTCTTCTGCTTGGTGGCCGTTTGGCCGATGCGCGAGTCGTCCACGTTGAGGGCGATGTAGGGGTCCAGAAGGAAAGTCTGTGGCCGGGGTCCCACCGCATGGCGCAGCGACCAGGCTGTGGGCTTCAAGCTCACAGCCTCGCAGATTTTTATCTTAAGAAGGCCATTGAACACTACCATGGTCGGGGCGGGGAGTGGGGGCCGGGGTCACTCCGTCCGCCCCGAGGGCAGGAATGAAAAACCGACGCCCCGGCGATCCGAGCCACGGGGACTCCTGGGTCCCCTCTCGCCCCACCCCACACTCCCTACACCTTGTAGCTTTGCGCCCTGGCGCGGGCGATTCTCAGCGAGTGCATGTATTTCCTCGCCGGGTTCCTAACGGAAAACAGGGAGGGGGGGAGAGCTGGGGGACGTCCGTGTTTGGAGCAAGTCTCTCCCCCCCTACCACCAGCAGCACCTCCAGAAGAGGAGACGAGCTGTCGGCTCCGCTGCAAGCCGCGGGGGCTGTCTCGCCGCCTCGCTGGCTCTCCGGCTCCGGGCTGCGGGGAATCGGGCGCCGCGCCGGGCGCTTACCTACCTTTCCGAAACATAATCCCTGGGAAATTTCGACTCCGGGAGGGGGAGGGGGTGGTGGGACCCGGCAGGGACAAGAACCGGGGGTGCAGATTTCAACCCGGATCCTCTTCGCACACCCAGCGCCTGCCTCTGACCGCGCGGGGCGGGGAATGGACCCAGGGATGTTCAGTCTATCCGGAGGGATGCATGTCGAGAGGAAATGGTCCTCCTCGGAGCCAAATTTTTAAAAATCCACAAGCCACACAGCCAGCCCGGCCGCCTCCTTTTGGGCGAAGCAGCGCCGCGCCACAGTCGGCGATCGGGAGGCGCCAGGAGCCCGGAATCTCACATCCGCGCGGGCTCGGGAGTCGGGGTGGCCGCCGCTCGGGCTCGGGGCGCAGGCCGGCACCGGGCGGTGCGCAGCGCGGCGGCGGGGCCGAACTGCGACTCGGCGCGGCCCCACCTCCTGGGCGCCGGCGCCCGCCCGCCGCGCTCCCCGCGTCCCCGCTCTCGGCTGCCGCTCGCTCGCCGCCCGCCCGCCCGCTCTCCCCCTCGGTCTCTTCTCCCTCCGTCGGTGTGCGAGCGAGTCTCCCTCCCTGTAATGCAGGAAATGCGCAAAAGACGTCAGTGTGTGTGTGTGTGTGTGTGTGTGTGTGTGTGTGTGTGCACGCGCGCGCGCTCCTGTGTTTGGGGAAATAGAAAGTTTTGCCGGTTGGGGGAGCAATACGGGAAAAGTGAGCCGACGGGAGGACGACGGAGAGCAGCGAGCCTGCCCGGGTCGCGGCGGCGGGCGGGGGAGCCGGGCGGGGACCCCGCGCGGGGCCCGGGGGAGCGGCGGCGTTGGGGCGGGGGCGCGAGTGCCGCGGGCCGTGGATGCCTCGTCTTTGGTCTCCACTGGGAGACAAGCGGGCCGCGCATCTCTCCGGGGCTCTGCGGCCAACGCTGTCTTTAGAGCCGAGGGAGGGGAGTGGCGGGGGTCGTGCTGCGGGCGAGACTCCGGACCCTCCCCCAGCCCCACCCCTCCTCGGGCCTGGCGGGCGAGGGCAGCCTGCGGAGTATTGGGCCGTCTGTCTTTCTGTCTGGCGACGGTCTGCTCCACGATGGCGGGGGAGGGGGGAAAGGGAGGGGCGTGCACGCTCGGTGTGAGTTTTTAAACATTTATTTTCTCTCCCCTTTCTTTGGGGGCACTCTCCCCTTTAGGATCTGGCCTGGACTTAGGCTACGAGAACTTGTTGACAAGTGAAAGCTTGGTAGAACCGCGGCCCGGTTTGTGTGTTTGTTTATTTTTTACAAAGTGACTTCATATTTACTCTGGACCTCGTCTGTGCCCTTTGGGGGGACATCGGCTCTGATCAGCGCGCCAGCAGCCGCCGTCCGAGCTGCGGGGAAACGGGGCGCGCCCTCTGGGGGGCGAGTGGCAGTGTCCGAGCTAATTTCCTCCGTAACCTTTAAACTCTCGCTGGAAGCCGTGGCGGCGGTTGATCACGTGAGGCGAGCCCTGGGCTGCTGGGGAAGAATTTCCTCCGCGGGGAGCCGGGGACGGGGACGGCTGCCTGGCGAGGGACGGCCCCGCGCCAGGGGACGCGAACCTGCGCGGGCGGGGCCGAGAGCGCGGAGGCCCGGGGCGCGGCCCGGGCCGGACTCCCCGGGGGACTGCGCAGGAAGAGGTCGTCTCTGCAACCTGCGAGCGGGGGTTAGTGCAAATGGAAAAAGAAAACCTCGGTCCTCACTCGTGTACCAATCAAGGCAGGCAGTTTGTAGCGACCGTGGTAAGCTGAGTGTGCATCTGGCGGGTCTGGTTAATGTAGACCAAATTTAAAACCCACCTCTTCGATCACTTTTTCTCAGTGACAAAAGGTTATCATTGCCTGTGGCTTAAAGGCGAGCAAGGAGGCAGTCCCCTGGAAAACAAGATGCCGAGTGCAGCACACAGGTTGCAAAAATGATCAGAAAAAGTGTCCAGGTGACTGTGGCAGTTCCTCTCCTAAGGCCTGCAGTCAAGTAATTTCTCGCAGCCCGCCCTGCTAAACGGGGCAGCTGGGTAGAGAGCGCGCCAAAATGCAGTCTTAGGGGAAAATGAGAACATTTGCATGAAAAAGTCAGGATACAAGAGTTATCCCTTACTTGGCCACGCCCACCAGCTGGAGGTGTATTTGAAAATCTGTCAGTTTGACAAAGCACAAGTGGGATATCTCACTGCTGTTTCATTTCTGTTCCTTTGAACATCAGACCTTTCCCTCCTCTCTTCTTCCTTCCTCCAGTCTATTCGCGCGTTAAACTTTTTTCCGTTTCACAGAGCATGCGATGGAAGGCACTGGCAAATAGGGCCTGATCTGAAAATGCATTTGGGATGCAGAGCCAGCGCTGGAGTGAGATGAGATATTTGACAAAGAGGCAAAATTTAAGGGGCGCGAATAAACTCAGTCATCAAGATGAACACTATTTTAATGCAATATTTTTAAAAAGTGAAATTACTGTAAAAATCCAGGATGGAAATAATATCCAAATTTTTTAAATTTTAGATATTGCATTAAAATATTCCTTATATTACTGAGTCTATTGGCACCCCTGAAGTTTTGTCCTCTAGAGGAGTACGCTAGCCCTGGCCATGTTGGGAAGTCTGGAAAGGGAAGGATTTCATGAAGGTAGGGCTCCTTGAGTAGTTGGTGTTTCCCACCTCCTCCTCTGGGTGAGTCCCACCTTGCCATGCAAACAGAGGAGTGCACAGGACTGAAAACCGTTGGCCAGAATCCCTCCTCTTCAGTGTGTGAGACAGGAACTACATTTAGAATTAAGGACACATTGAACTTGAACTTTTTGCATGATATCGTATTCCCTTTTCCCCAGGCAGACCCTCAGATATATTAAGTAGGATCTGTTGCCATCTCAGTGACTCGCGTTCTTAGAGAACCAATCGCCTGCAAACTTCCAACACCATTTCCTTGCAACCTGGGTAAGGTTACAGGAAGGCAGCACCTGCCTCTTAGCCGACTGTTTGTTACGTGTGAATAAGCAGACTGCGGTTCTCAGGTGTCGCCAATACCAGGGTGACCTCTCCTACCAATGACAGGGTAGGTGGTAACTAAAAGACTTGGCCAAGCTGCCTGTTTTGTTCTGGGTGAATATTTAAGTAAAAAGGGAGAATGCTGGTACTCTACATGCAAACATTGCTAATTTCTTGCCCTCATTACATCCTTATTTCTCAATAAATCTCTCACCTTCCTACTCTCAAACTTGGCTGAATGAAAATATGTATTCTCCAGGAGATACCGTGGAGATGCCTGCTGTGAGCTTGCTTAGGGGAAAATCCTTAAATTTACCTGAGGAGGGGTAAATCTAAAATAGCCCTGTGCTCCAGATTTCATGTGAAAAGAAAAACAAAACTGTGCAGGCGGAAGGTTTGGAATGTAAAATTCCAGTCCATAACTATTGCCTACTTCTTCCTTCTCTTGGCCTCTGTATACAATCCTGAAAGACAAGACAGCAATGGTAAAGACATGGAGTAAAACGCCCTTTGGATTCCAACTATGGCCTAGTTATTTTGTAAGCTTTGGGAGAGGGAGGAGGAAAGGAAGAAAAATTATATAAGAATTTCACAAAGATGATCAAGATGGTGTCCCTCTCCTTTTAAAATCAAGACTCATGGGGAAAAGGTCTGATAGAACAGAAGTCCCAAGGGCAGTGTGACAAGTGCTACAGGATGTGTTGGGGGGCACCGGCCCCTCGGAGAGCACAGAGGAAAAGTCAGCCCTTTGCCTGGGGGAGCTGGGGAAGGATGGCCCATCAGGTCTAGGCTTTCCCATGTGAGTTCCTCCAAAGGCAAAGAGAAGTGGGAAGTGTGTTGGAGGCCACGGGAACAGAGTGTGCAGAGCCCAGGTAGGTAAGAGCAGGACTGTTTGGGATGAGTGAGTGACCAGGGGTACCTGGCAGGTAGCAGGCAGGAAGAGGAGGTGAGGTAGGTTGGAACCAAATAATTAAGGCCTTGTAGGGCCTGCAAATGGGTTTGAGCTTTTTCCTTGAGAGACACTGATCACTCTGAAGTTGGAGAAGCAGCATAACCAGAGTTAATACCCTACAAAAGGAATTTTGTACAGGGATGGATACTTTCTGTAATTTTTTCCTCAGAAGACTCACCCCAAAACAGGATGTTAGAGACACAGAAGATCCAAATCTGAAAATGATTTACACTCTGTCTGATCAAAAATGAAACAATCTGTGGATATTGTTTAGATTGGCTTAGGAAGGAGGGCGGGGCGCCAGAACCTAGACTAGCACGTTAATATTCATGTCCTTGTTGCTGTGCTGGATGTTGTCATTTATAGAATGTTAATGGCTTCTGCAAAGGTCTGCCTGGTCAGGGTCTTTCATACATTCTACACACGCTGTGTGGAACAGAATTCAACCACCTGGGCCACGGGGTGGAATGTGCAGCAGCAGAGGAACACAGAAACCTTCCAGAGTTGTGTCAGCTCTGCCCTAGCCCAGCCCCTACCTGAGTCGCAGCCAGACTTCTAACGCCACCCTCACCCACCTTCTTCTTGTTGGCCCATGTCTGGCCTATGTCTTTTTATTTTGACCCCGTCTCCGCTTTGAACTCTGTTGCAATGACTCAGAGACCAAGCTTCACCTGCAAGTGGGTGGAGGGATCAGAGGTAACCCCATATAGCTTAAAGGTGGATGTGGGGAGGAAATGGCCCCATGCCCCTCCTTCCTCGGTTCTCTTGACCCTGAGCCCCATGCTTTCAGGCACCATTTGGAAAATAACATCACATATCTCATCTTCTTTGGCTCCCATGTTGGGCTGCATTTTGAGGCTTTTAAGTATATAAATTAGTCCACGAATGGAAACTAAGTACCTGCTATGTTGAGAATACAGGGCAGGTGCTCTGGAGAGGACGAATAGATACAGGGATGATTCCTCCTCCAGCGGGGAAGAGAGGAAGATCAATTCATTCAGTCAGTCATTTATTTAGCAGTTGGTATTGAGCACCATGTTATTTGGAGCACTGAGGAAACAACAATGATGACACACGATGGCCCTTTGTTAGTCGGAATGGGCCATGTCATGCTGCTATAATAAATAGTCCTCAAATCCTAAGGTTTAAAATAACAAAGGTTTCTTCTCATGCATGCCTTAAGTCCATGGCGGGTTGGCTAGCAGCTCTGCTTTGCGTCAGAGCTCCTCCTGCATTCAGATTGACGAGAGAAAAGTCACTATGTGGAACATAGCTGGCCACGGGCACAGAGAAAAGAACCCCTAGAGTGTCTTTGGCAATTAAATAGAAGTGCTAACTGTCACTTCTGCTAGCTGGTTGTTAGCTAGAACCAGTCGCATGGCCTCCCTCCCCCACCCACAGGGCGGCTGGGAAGTTTTCCCATCTGCAGCGGGTAGGAGCCTGGACTAGCTAGTGGACAGCACTCAAGACTCCACAGACCCTCTCCTCAAATAACTGGTGCAGAAAGATAACTCAAGGTGGCACAGAGTAAATGACAGATGAATGGCACCATCAGATGGTGCTGTAGGAATTTAAAGGTAGCAGTGATCACAACCAGAGTGGGGCTGTTTGTTTGACCCCCAGTGGCCTTGGGCCACTGCATACAGAAGACTTCAGATGACATGAAGAATCCTGCCTAAAATCAGGACTAGCAGCCCCCTGAGCTCCTTTTCCCCTTCCCTACAGATGTCTAACCTCACAGGACCTGCGGGTCCTTCAAGCGACTTCAGAACCAAGTCAGCACTAAGGAGGTGTGTGGACACAACAGAATGAAGACTTCTTTCTTACACTCCGCAGGACCTGAGAGATCACCTGGTCTATAGTCTTTATTATTATTAACTTCTCCCATTAAATGAGCAAACTGAGACCTAGAGAAGTTAACTGACTTGCTACATAAGAAAGAGTTTTTTTTGAGGAAGATTAGCCCTGAGCTAACACCTGCTGCCAATCCTCCTCTTTTTGCTGAGGAAGACTGGCCCTGAGCTAACATCCGTGCCCATCTTCCTCTACTTTATATGTGGGACGCCTACCACAGCATGGCTTGCTAAGGGGTGCCGTGTCCGCACCTGGGATCTGAACCAGCGAACCCGGGGCCGCCGAAGCGGAACGTGTGCACTTAACTGCTGCACCACCAGGCCAGCACCAAGAAAGGTTTTTAAAATAACCAAAATATTAATGAGAGGTCTAAAGCTGACTCTTACACTTCCTAGTGTAAATTTACTGTTTTTCCTACGTTGTCATGCTGGAACCAAGCCATTTAATGATGATAACTCCAATTATGTTTTAATTCCTTGGAAACGTAATTTCTGTAAATCAAAGGTCCAGGTTTGTTTTAATTTATTGGTTCCAAATTTAACTCGTCTTAGCGTGGTACAATATTTTAGACTTATAATAATTCTTGGGGACTATAATATTGATAAAGTCCTTATGTTATTTTGGTGATATGTGTCTTTAAAAGAAAAGGTCTTTAGAGGCCTACCCTGCGGCATAGTGGTTAAGTTCCCCATGCACTGCTTGGTTGGCCTGGTTCCCTGGTTCCCTTCTGTGCTGACCTATACCACTCCTCAGCCATGCTGTGGGGGTGACCCACATACAAAACAGAGGAAGACTGGCACAGGGCGAATATTCCTCAGCCAAAAAAAAAAGGGACTTTATTGTTCCTCAACTTCTCTATTTTTGCATCCTCTCTCCTAACACCAATTAGATGTATTTTAGGCATATGGTTTTATGACACCTGTACCAAGTGTAACAGCTGTTTCTGCAGGCTCCCTGTG